TAAGCCAATAAAGGACAAAGCAGACAGCGAGAAAATCTACCAATTTCTCTAGAACCTGCGAGAAGAGACATCGGTCCAAAAGATCAGTCTTCATCCAATGGTTCAAGAGCATATCAGGCAGAGGTTCCTAGATCGCTACACCCAGCCCATCTCTGCAGTCCATTTTGTCGATGGCATCAAGCAGGTCATTGACATCAAGAAGCATACCTTCGCGCATAACCAGATTATCTTCTATCAGTATACGGTGGAGAGGTCTCGTGGACAGATCTACATGTTTACAAATTGTGACCTTATAAATCTGAATTCATGGGATCTTCTCTCTCTGTTTTACCTCACAGATCACAAGAAGGACAAGGGGGTCAAATACACTGTGGCGAACTCTGCTATAAGGCAAACGATGACGAACCTTCTCGACTTTAGAAGTAAGTTCGATTTTTAATTAGCTCTGGATCTAGGAGTAGATCAATTGACTGTCGCTGCACCAAACGAAGATCTGCAAGGCATCAATAGCATCCCTTCTTGGATTGTGTTGGTGGAACCAGAAGTGGGAGTAGTATTTCGAAATGCACAGAATAAGAAGATCTTTTTTCGAGATATGCAGAACTACAAGTATTCAAACTCTACCCTGTGGTACATCAGAGATAATCTAGCCAGGAGCAGAGACAACTCCCCACGAAGTTCATCAGACTTCAAAATGTTTAGACCTTATGTTTTATAAGTTTTTTTTTCTATCTTGTAAAGTCAATGTAATTTCCATTCAATTGTATTGTATGTTTTTTATAGTGAACGAAAATTAAAAGTTCCTTTTAATCTCTGGCTTCGTTTAAACTTTTCGTTTGGTAATTCAAGTTAGAGCCTGCCTTATTTACTCTTAGGGGGAGATTATTAGACCCCAACTTCTGTGCTTAATACAGACCTTAAGAAAGGTTCTGCTTGTGCAGTGCGGTCATTCTAACCTTGCCTCCGTGCATGACACATAGCTACACAGAGGCTCTGCACTTTAGTGTTGAGAAAGAGCTCTATCTCTTCATGTCCTATGTTGAGGCTCCGCTTCTTCATCCAAACCTTAACAGAGGTTCTGCACGGCCTACGCGGTCCCTCAAACACACACTACGTGGCTCATACAGAGATCCACAGCGGCTCTACATTTAAGTGTTCAGAAAGAGCTTTGTCTCTATGAAGGTGGGTTTCAGAGTTCTAATTGTGTGCCATATCATTCTGACACTGTCTCCGTCCTTCATACAGAGCTTGTATATATAATATTTAATTCTTGAATAAGAGCTCTGTGGATGCATATATTAAGCAGAACATTGCGTACTTCATGTAGAGCTACGCAGATGAGTTGCATTTAATTCTGGATGTGATTTTTCAGATGTGTAACTCTGAATAACACGTGTTACAACTCTGCGTCTGTGCTTCAGTTATGTTATCCTCGTTCGCACATTTCCAGACTTATTGGTGTGGCCATTCTTTCTCTTTAATTCTGGAAATTTCCATCAGACTTGTCCAGGGCACGTGCAAAGCTGTCACTTACAAAGGGTCACCGTCTGTATCTCTAATTTTTCAAGTAAAATAGGCGGGATGCAAAGCATGCCAAGCCACGTGTCTTTCCTCCATACGTTGTTGCATAACCGTTTCAGCTCTCGATGCTTCGTGCCGGTTCTCATTCGATTTCCTATTACAAAATCTCGTTTTAAATTACCCTTTATTCCCCAAATTAAATTTTTAATGCTTTCCAATCTTTTCTCCATATTTCTCTCATTGTTGTATTCTACGAACTAAAAACCAACTACCGCCATTGACAAATTCTGACCTCAAGGTTCCCCCTCTTTTACTTTGCTTCAATCGATATTCATTGCAAGTAAGTTGATTAAGTCCAACATCTGCACACAAATCACAAAATCAACCCCAAATTTATACATTTATGTGAAACCCTAACTTTCAGCCAACCGCAAAACAGGGTTATTTTCTTGCTCACAAACCTGCAAATGTCTACATCCGCATCAAACAATTCTCAAACGCAAACCACTACCCTCAAATCCGTTGACAGATCTACTCATACCATTATTCCCCTTCCTCTGAAACCAAATAATCACACACTTTGCCTCAACCTGGACAATTTTGACTCCAGGTTTCACCCAATTGTTGATATCCTTCAACATCATTTTCTCAATCCTGCTCTCACGAACTTGGATGACGCCATTCCACAGTGTTTCATTAAGGAAT